TTGTTAATAAATTCGGAACAAGATGATACAAAGGCATATTTGTCCTTGCGTTGATATAGATACGTTTCTACTATAATCTTTTATTTATGACCACCTGACCGGCTTTGACGCGTGTCTTCAAGTATCGATACTCCATAAACGACCGTAGTAGCATTCAGCAAGCATTTTATTATCCGCAATCCGTCAGTTTCTCCTCTGTGGTCGGTAGAGAAAATGTATTCTTTTCGATGCGAAATGAAATGGACGCGTGTAAGCGTAACCCTCGCAAATTAACCAATGAATTAACCACTATTACGTGCGACATAACAATATAATTTCCTGCAATATTTTCTTGCGTGTATGTGTAAAATTCTAGTCTTCGCAATAAACTTTTTTTTGCGCTACTAGGTTTCGCAACCGGTGCGGCTTTCACTTAACGTGGCTTAATTCGCGAACTTTCGAGACGTCGACGATAAAATTTATCGCGCGTGATCGCCGTCTTAAAAATCAGATAATTATACGAGTCACAGTCGAGTCAAAAAAACGGTAAAAATCCAAATAAACGGTAAAATTTCACGTGCCACTCGTGTATCATGTAACTCCTAAACGAAGGAATTTATTTTCACTTCCTTCCGTGTTGTATTTTTTTTATGTCGACAAATCTGACAATAAATTCAGCTCGTAAAACAATAAATGCTTACTAGAAAACTGAAAGAAAAGAATTTTAATAGACGCAACTTAGTGGTATCTCATACGTCAGAATTTCCAATTTTTCCCATCATCCATATTTTTCTTGGAAACGTTTTCTCTGAAAATATAGCTAATCTTATCTTCAAAATTCTTACTCAATCTTATCTACATTTTCATTCCAAGAATGCATATAGGCTAGTTGCGTCTGTGGTCATTTCGAGTTTTGTTTGCTTGAGTGTAGAATAATTGCGACGATTCGTCAGCATTCGAAACCAGCGCAATGTTACTTTCACTTAACGCGATTTATTTTCTGCGCCGTCGATGCGCGTGCGAATCGAACGTGCCTACCGTTCGCGGAGTTAATTAACGACATCGCTTGCACTTACACACACTTACAGTGCGTATGTGCGCTTGCCTACATATTCGTGGTGAGAAAAAACGATAGAATAAGGTGGTAGTACGAGGAACGAGAGAAGGGACACGCAGTGGAGAAAGGAAAAACAAAAATACGACGATGGTGAGGTCACTCCAGTCGGTTCGGTTTTGTATCGAGACACACACGGTGCACATGTGCATTTCTTTTTTCTTCTTTTATTATTTTCTCGTGGACGAAAGGGGCACCTATACGATGATGCTGATGACCTTGTGCCAGATGGGAGCCTCATCCTGAGCCAGGGACAGTTGGTCTCCCCGATATATCTGCTTATCTTTCGTCTCGCTTCTGTTTCGATTGTGTATAGAGATATTTGAATTATAAATTGTTTTTGAAGTAACGCTTCAAAAACAATTATAATCTTATATTATAGTCTTATATTCCGCCAAGAAATCGAGTAATCTCTTTGTTGAAACTATCTAATTTTGCTAATTATTTTTTTTATATGCTACCGTAACTACTTGAAATTTAGCCCTTCTTTGCCGTAATGGAATAATCTCAATTTACAAAGAAAGAGATAAAAATATAATGTACAAGTTAATTTAATAAAATAAACATTCACGCAGAGGTGCACATATATATATATATATATATATATATATATATATATATATATATAGATCTTTTATACAGAAAACCATCTGGCAATCACACACGCTATGTTGCGAATATCGGTCGCATACTCGAACGCCGCTCGTGCGTTTCCACGTGTCTAAAGGTCATCACGTGTATTTGTCATGATAAGCGGTAAGATAAGTCGTCACCATGCGTCTTGGCGAATCTTCATCATGAGTTCACCCATGTATGCACAATTCTTATTTCTTATCTTATGTGTTTCCCATTTTTTGCGATATCGATGATCGTCCAGTGAAAGTTGCTCTCATGGGTTTAAAGATTGATCTCGTTAAGAGATCGTTCCAGCTGCTCTTTTCTCGAAGCCGTACAATCCGACGTTTTAAAAAAATTTCAAGAATAACATTTTTTTAATTTTTGCCTGAAACATTTTTTTGTACGACGTCAAGTTTTGGAAAAGATCCTTTGCTTTATGAAACATCCTATGTGTGTGTAAAATAACAATAATAATTTCTACTTCTTTATTAAATATATAAAATCTTATGATGTACAAAAACATGGATCTTCTTTTTACAAACGTAAAAAAGATATCGATATTTTTTAATACTTTTTTTTAATACTCGTGGATATAATAACCCAGTGATATAGTCAACGATACGGACTCGATGCCGGCACTAGTTCCTGACACGCGGAAATGTCGCGAATGCTACGAGCATTGCGATTACCATTTGTTCGTTTGTTGGTCAGCTGTTGCTGTGGCCTTAAGTACCGAAATAATTTCAATCTGGCAACGCGAGTAGAGATGACGGTCTACTACTATGGTCTCTGCACCGTTTGTACGTGTAACGCATACCGAAATAAAACGTCGACGGTTAAAATTATCTCTCCACGGGCACTTACTTAAATTGCGAAAAATGCAATTCGATACCACGAGACAGAGAAAATAAGAAAGAGAGAAAGGCAGACAGGTTTGCGCATTGTTACCTTTTTATACATCCGACATAAATGGAAGCTTGATTATTTTCCACAATATTAATTCAACATTGACGTTATGTACGACGATTCCGAGAAATACCGATAAACTTTGATCTACGGATTCTCTGATTAATCGGAATTTCCAATGAAATTTTAATTTTAATTACGCATCTTATTTTTTGTGAAATTCTCTCAAGTGTCAAAATTACATTTTGGTATAAACTAAATCTCTAATTAAAATTCTATCGAAACATACCTGAAGTGGAATAAGAATAAGATTGTACTATCTACGTGCGTACATTGAATTTTGCAATTCCTAATTTAGTCACTTTTGTATTGTATTTAGAAAAATTAAATGTGCCAAAAAAATCATATGAAACGGATTAAGGAACAAATTGCAGGTGTATGTGCATATTTTTATCTTGGGAATAATACAAATCTCAAAAGTTTCAAAAGTTGTTGAACATTTCGATCCTCGATTGATTCCTCTTCCCCCATAAAAAATAAACATGTATCAACGTTAAACAATAAAGAGTGTAATTTCGGATCAGAAACGCTTTATTAATAATGGATATCTGCAACGAAACGTGATACGAGGCTGAAAATCATCAACCGCTACAAAGTTTGCCCAAAAACTTGCGGAAAAAATTGAAAAACATTCAGGCGAATACGTAATTAATCGTGATTGACAATAAAATTAGATCATGGTTGGGTGACGAAGAAAAGAGTAGAATTTTCTACAAATAAGTAAATGTGTTTTTACGCGAGTGAAAAACTCGAACGGACCGAGAGAGAGAGACTGCCGGTCTCGCGCTAAGAATAATAATTTCCAAGTAATTCTTCTCTCGATCAGGACCTTCGCACGATCTCGATTCTCTCATGTGTCTCTGCACGACGGCGTGAGAATCCGAACCGGCTGGTGACGAACACAATGGGCACTTGTCTGGGACACGCGAATCTCGCGATGTAACTATGACGAATCAAAAGATAACCGGTCAGGCAACAGGCGGATCAGCTAGCCGTCCTTCCGCGCGCGCAGTGAAATTTAAATGAGCGCTGCTCCCTTCGCAAAACTTTTATATCGCATTCTCGCGCGATTCGACCTTTCATTACGACGACGATGTCTATCCCAGCTGATCGGTAGAAGGGGAGGCTGGACGCTGCTCGGAGAGCCCCTATGGCCTCGATACGCGAATGTCCGTGAGAGAAGCGCTCTCCCTTCATCGCCCCTCGACCTGCATTACGCACGCTGACGTCGCGTGTATTGTCTCGTCATCGTCATCGCGCGTCGACCTTCTCTCATCTAGAACGTTATATGTATATCAATTTGTTGCGTCGCTGTCATTTACCAAATCTGAGTTGCGTGTGAATAATGTGATTTTTTATCATTTTTTTTTTTATTATTTTCAAGTTTCATTTAAATAAAAAATTGTATCCTCGAGCGACAATCAATATTCTTGAATGTATGCGTCTTTTTAAAGACGCTGAGAATTTAAATTATCGGATTCCTCGATGCATGCTTCGCAATCGCAATTATTCGTTAATTGTAAGAATAAAAAAGCGACAAGAATAGATTTCGCATACCGAGCAGAGAAAGGAAATGGAGTAGAATAATACAAGGGTGAGAGAGAAGGGCAAAACGACTGGAGTAAAGAGGAGGGAGGAGATATATATACGTAAAGTTGCGAAATGATCAGTCGCGCTCGACTGCCTTTCGATGAAATTGAATCGCGAAAAAGAGCCAACCGGATCCCGCTCGCACTTGCATCAATCGCACTTAATTCTCCGGAGAGAGACTGAGAGGCTTAATTTAAAAGTTTACTTTTACTTTATTCTAATGATAGTGACATAGGGTCTATATCTCGATTATAGATATTATCTTAAAGATATACAGATTTATTATAAATGAATATGAAAAGATCGCTTCGCGTGATTGTATTATCATGAATATTATATCGCTAACTCGTTGTAAAAAGGAGTGCAGAAATTTCTGCATAGCTAGATCGTTAACACATATTGAAAGATTGTCATTTATAATTGAGCAGAATATATAGGTTGAATTTTAATATACTAACTTATATTTTGACACAGAGTCATATTTCAATTTATCGATTGTTATTAAAATATAAATTACTTTCATGTACAAGTATCGATTGATATTCTCTGTCCATGAATATATTGTAATTATATTCTGCCCGATTGCAAATGATAACTCTAGCTTTACGAGTAACATCGCTGTTAGCGATTTAGTATAATATATAAAAGTTTGTGGATAAATTTTATTAACGCAATTTTATTAAGAAGACACAACGGACTAATCGGTATGCTTTTTTGCGTGTTTTGATTTCAGAAACTCAGCATTCCATCCATCCATGGATTTAACGGATTCACTTTTAGTCTCTCCAGCAATCAGGACATTGAGGGTCCCCAGGGCGGCTTTGAGTGCGTCCGACAAACTGGCCCTAAGTACGTATCGATTATCGTGATATAACTTGCTAATTTACAAAGTAATATTTACGTATCAAATTCATACAATTTACCGTGCGAGTAGTTGAAACTCAGAGAAGATAAAATTAAAACATTAAATATCGCGCGCGTGCTTATTATTTGTTCATTAGGCAAGTTGATGAAAAAATTCTATACTGTTATTATCAGGGTTGGCAAAATTCCATTTTATGTATAAAATCTATATATCGATGGTAAAAACTTGTATTTTCCAGTAATAAATTTTCCGGAAAATAAATTTTTTATTAGAGGATGTTGAAAAGAATTAAAATTTTCTTATTAAACTTCAATTAATCAATATCAAATTAATATTTATATCAAATAAATTAATATCAAATTTAATAACTTATTTATATCTTCCAATTTTTTGTCTTAAAAATTTTAACACGATTTGAATTGAGAATGATTTTAACGTTACATTTCATTTTTTTAACTATACTGATTAGTATGATTTATTAATTAAAACAAAGATATATTTTTGCAAGTTATAAATACATAAATATACACTTTAATGTTATATATTTTAGTGATTTTATAGTTTTGGAGCAGTTTAATTGATTGAAAAACGAAACTAAAGTCCTGGAGTAAAAACGGTAAAAACCAGAATTTACTATACATTTTTTTCATTCACCGGACTTTTCCAGAGGCCAACTCTATTATTACATTATACCTTAGTAAAAAGTATTATATATATAGCAAGATTCGCCCCATGGCTGAAAAATAATATTCCGCTGAATAGACTCGACATACGTGCGACAAGGATGCGATAACTTGGAGTAGTCTCCTCAAACGTAATCCCCTCAATCTAAATCAAACTATGTAAAAACTACTTTGGAGCATCCTTGAGCAGGTGGTTTTATCGCGGCAACTTGACATACTAAAGCGTTGTTAGTGAACTAGCAGGTGTCGACTACTGGCGACTACAGCATCATTGAACGATTATGTTTGCGTCAGCAGAACCGATTCAGCGTCTGCTGGTGCTTCTTGTCGATTTCGATGATTTAACGAAATTTATGTTATTGTAAATAAGAATTTTTGCAATTTTTTGTTGGGCGCATCGCAGTTTTTTAACCCATTTTTGTGGGTAAATAATAACCGGTCGATATGTTTTACAAATGTGATACAGTATTATACATTTATCATTTATCATGAATATAACAATAATGACAATGCATACTTTCTCTGTATTTAAGAAAACTCAAGTTTCATTACATTTTAACTATGTATGTATGTGTATATATTTATTCGTCTCTTTATTTAATATTTAAAAAAACCGTGTATTATGATTGATTAACTTCTACCTTCTTATTTTTCTTCTTCTCTTTCGTAGAAGTCTGGAGAGCCTCGGCGCAATACCATACAAAATGCGGATACGGGCAAATGACGACGTTTACGAGACCACCAGGCACAGAATGGCGGTCGCCGAGGAGAATAACAAGAACAAATGGTATGGATATTCCCACAAGCAGCAAGATATACGTCGACAGCCGTTCGATCCTTCCGGAGAAAGACTTCTTTCTTTTTTTTTTGTTTTATTTTGTTTTGCAAAAGCGCGTGCCATTCTCTCCTCTCCATTTCCCGAACATCGCCGAGCATCGCGGAACCGTAAATAATGCTCGCGTCGTGGCCTTACTTTTACAAACTTTCGCCCGTAGATACGGTCGCGCTTAACGGATGTTCGCGCGATTCACGATGGAATTTACGAGTCGCGCATCGTGGACATATCGTCGCGGAAACTCGCGGAAAATCGTATGCACATAGATGCTTTCAGATACATATAAAAATGTAGAGGGGAAAAAAAAATAAAATGTTTTATTTAATTAGAATGTCATGTTAAAATCATTCATTATTAGAGAAAAAAATTCCATCCATAAAACCAAAAACTTTGTTATTAGTTTCGATATTCATTACGATATCTAATTTTTTTTAAAATTCTTTTCATGAGTGACTAATAAAATATTTTCACTCATATACTGCTCTGTCATCATATTAATATTATTTTAGACTGTAACATGTATCATCTTCAAGATAAGGGTAAACATAGCTCATAATGGAAAAATTTTTTTAGTATTCTTGACATATGGGAGACCTCTAAATCAAGTGATTACATATATACTAAGTGATTACATATATATAGGACTATTTTTAAAATCTCATGATGGTCTGTTGTGAACATTATAATTGTATCTAGAATAGCCTAAATATCACAAAACATTTGCTGTATGCGCTTAAAGATAAAAAATTTAGAAAAGCAAAATAGAAAAAGGCAATAAAAGAATACAAAATAATAAAACTTTTACAATGATCACAACCTTGACGCGATGTAAAGTCTGTAAGGAACTATATATTGTATATCAGTCATTAATTAATCCATGTATCGAGAATAATAAAACATCAATTTTTTAATTATGAGCTGTATTTACCTTGAAGATAATACATCTTATAATCTATGATGTTAATATGATGGCACAGAGCAATTAATGAGCGAAAATATTTTATTAATCAATTATTAATCACGAAAAATATCAGTGAATACCTAGACTAATAATTAATTATGGATTGAATTTCTTTCTCACCTAATGATTATTTATTTTTAACATTTCTATGTTATGATTATGCAATACAAAAAAAATTGTTTTTTGCAAATTCTGAGGGAGTCAAAAAAACACTAAATAACCTTCTTCCTTTTTATAAGAAGAGGATCGCAAAAAAACGCACTTTTTGGAAATCGAGCTTTGCAATTAGTCGCGCTCTCGCTCTTGCTCGACAAGGTTTTGCATCGACGACGCGGCGATAATTTGTTTAGTCGTCACGGCCAAGGTTAAAAGCGCCTCACAAGTGCAATTTCGTTACGAGCCTCAATACTTTTTCGCTCTTCCTCGCGTCATCATTGTGATGCTTTATCGCGGCGCTCTCGTCAAGGAAGATTATATAACTAACTAATTGATCGGATTCCTATGTGATAATGCTGCAAGTTGCATTAATTGCCGGTCTCACAGAAAATCGTGTTTTGTGTATAAATATCTAAGAAATATTAGAGGTCGTTCCTGAGCGCGCTCCACTTTTGCAAATGGCACAATAACATAAATCATATTTGATATATTTTTCCTTTAAATTAATAAACTAATATACTAGAGAAATAAGATTGATTGGAAAGATCCCATAGGTATAAAAACCATAGTAAATTTCGGTTTTTACTATTCCAGTTTTTATCTCTAATGAAATAAACTAGCAAAAACGGTATAAGTAATATATAATACTTTTAATTTTTAGTTTAGTAAGAAAAATGTAATCGTGTAACAGGATTATAAAATTTTTACTAATATAGAGACTTAGTTTGCGTTTGCCATCTTATAACAAAACTAATTTATTTTCTAATTTAATTTATTGCTCTTTAATCTATTACAAATTTCATTTTGAATAAAGTTTAAATTAGAAAACAATCTCTCAATTGACAAATATCGATAAAAAGATTTTCTATTTATTTAACATTTTCAATAGGAAAAAAGACTAGTTTTTGCTGTTTTTTTTTTTCGACAAGTAGCATTTTTTATCACTTGCATGAATTTGATTCAAAAAATGTAGAATTTTGCCAATCCTAATTAGAAATATAACATTTAAAGAAATATAACATTTAAAATTTAGTTCAATGACTTTAATATACAAACTGTGGTAAAATTTCCCAATTGCTCTTTACTTTTTAAATTTTATTCATTCTGTCTCTACTTTTTTGTATTATTTAAATTTAAGCAATTAGTATGCCAGAAAATTTCAAAATAATGTATATTAATGTAGATCAATTTACATTCGCAATCTACAATAGCAATCCTTTCGCTTTTCCAGTACAAGGGTGATCAAAGCGAACGGTCCAGACATCGGACGCAAGGTGAAAGTGCAAATAGGAAGAACGATACCACTTCCTTCGTATGCAAAACATCGGGAATCTACGACGAGCATTCCAACTTCCGGCAGCAATCAACACAGAGCGTCAACCAACAAGTCGACCGCTAGCAATAGTAATAGTAATCATGTAGCGGCGACTCGCAATCCGGAGAAAAAAATTTCTGATATTATGCGCAGGCCACTTAAGTAAGTGCACTGATAAATCGATACAAGGATACAAGAATAAGCCATGTAATGGCTCTAATTCCAATAAAAGACGCGGAAATAAAACTGTATTCTATTAATGATAATATACGAGGTCTGAAAAATTCTCTAAAATTCAACGCCCGATGAAATTGACTAGAAATTTAATTTTTTTCCATTTCATTAAATTAAAATGTATTTTACATTTTTCTGTATTCTAATAGGGAAAGACTTATCCACGTCCTTGCTTTGAGGCCCTATAAGAAACCCGAACTCTATGATCGTATCAACAAAGGTGAGACAAAATCTAAATACTTTTTGCGTTGTCCGAATAGTCGACAGTATTAATATTTCAATAAATTACAGAGGGCTTAAGGGAGAAGGAAAAATCCATCATGATGACCATCCTAAAGCAAGTCGCTTACATGCGCGACAATACGTATCATTTGCAGAGGCATATCTGGAACGATGTCCAGGAGGATTGGCCCTTCTATACCGAGCAGGAGAAGACAATGCTAAGGAGGCGGAAACCTCAGAATCTTACGCCACCTGGCTCGAGTGACGGTTCCAGCGGTATGCATGTATATCACAATACATCGTTTACACATACGTGAACATAGAAATTTTATTTTTTTTGTTTTATTTTAAACTCTATATATATATATATATATATATATATATATATATATATATATATCTTATATATCTTTACAGGCAGTGGTCAATCGCCCAATTCCATCCATGCGGGTTCACCGCCGGCGATCACAGCGCCCCCGCACAATAAGAGACCGGGATACTATCAGGGTAACGATGGAGTAACAACGAAAAAGACACGAATATCGCACTACAAGAAACCCGAACCCATCTCCTTCATCCCCGCTGGCGAAAAAGTGTCTGGTAGCAGCAGTTACAGTAATAATAATAGTGGCATCAGTGCAGCTGCCGGCGGTGAACGTGCCGCTGGCGGTAACAGTGGTTGTGTCGTCAACAGCAGTAGTGCTAGTGGCGGTGGCGGTGGTAGTGGTAGTGGTGCAGGTAGTACTAGTAATAGTAGCAGTAAAAACGGCGCCGGTCTCGACGGTTGGGAATCGAGACAGCACCCGCAACGTGAACGTAGCAGTCGCGCCGATTACCGAGCCGAAAGGACAGCGAATAGTGATGTGCCGCGAGGTGCTGGGAATGGCTGCGGCGCTCTCGCAGTCCCGAGCGGCTCCAGTCGGCCGTCATATCTAACGTCGTCGCCTAGTGACAGTGAAAGGAATAGTCATCACCAAAGCGGCGGCCATGGGCGCGACGATAACGTCAGCGCAAATACCGGGAGCGGTACAAACGACATCGATAGGAAGGATAGGAATGATAGGAGCGATAAGGGCGACCGGAGTCGTGATGCGATGAGAGAGGAGAGAAATAGAGTAAGGGAGTGCAGGAATAGAAGTAGTGCCGCGAACGACACGAACGATGTGAACGACGCGACTTTATTCGCTCAAAGTGAGGCTTCCAGTAGCGGTGCTCACATTTATAACATTAATGCCAGTTCTACCGATGTGATGATGATTTCGCTGCCGACTGATGAGCTAGAGAGGCCGGGGAGCCCTAGGGAATATCCCGATTACCTCACGTAAGTGCATCCGCTATGTTAAGCATTCCTTTCATCAATTATTACGAATGAATTTAACATGTTTTCCGATCGATAAAACACTGCGATATTATATATTGTGCCTTGTTTATTTATTCAGGTATTATACGACAATAAGTAATGCGATAGAAAAACGGCGTTATAAAGAGGAATTCTACGCCAATTATGACGAATATCGCAAATTGCACTCTAAAGTGGTCGTAATCGCGAATCGCTTTACCAGTTTGTACGAACAATTGCAAGAGTATAGAAAATCGGGCAACCTGACCGAGATCGAGGTATCGTAATTATATTCGACATCTTTTTTTTTTCTTTTCGAACAAACAAACGACATTTTTTCTTTTATTTTTCAGATAATTACGGAACAGATGAAGCGTGAATATAAGGAGATTAAGCAGGATATTGTATACCAGCAGATGAAGAAACGGTTTCATTACCTTCATGATAAGCTGAGCCATATAAAACGATTGATTTTAGAGTACGAAAGTGAAAACACCGTCGATACGATGTCGATTGCGACTAATGTTGATAGCGGTATGGTTAGTACTACGACTGCGGGTACTAACGTAAACATCGGAGATCTTGATAATCAGCATTACTGACACAAACTAAAAAGACCGCCTCTTCCCTGCCTCCTCCTCTCGGTTGTCGGTACGTTACTGTCAACATTGTCGCAGAATTTGCATTTTCTCGCCAAGTTCCAAGGCTGATCCTTCACGGTCCGTATGGTTCCTGGACTTTATCGCCGAAAAGTCAAATGACTTGAGGTCGCAAGATCTCATGTACGATACGATATTTATAAAACGTCTCGCAATATCATCGATTTATATCGTACATGAGACGACACTCTTCCTGCTGATTCCTCTTCCCTCCCATACCATTGAGCGTTGACAATCGTTTTTGCAACGATTTTCAACCTGTTGGCTTTCCGCCATCATAACGAGCTAGAGAAGGCTCGCTCGCGCGCTAACTTCGACCAATACTAGTTCTTGGTAATGTTTGATGAAAGCTGACGACAATCGAGTACGTTCAACAACTAGACAAAAGAGAAAGAAAAAAATCCATCCGGATTAAAAAAAAATAGTAGTAAGGGCATTCTGATGATCAGCGAAATGCAAACTGTGTAGAAACGCACAGGAAATTTGAAGCTGGTCTCGCAACGACTGACGGAAGACATTGTTGCATAGAGAAAAAAGGCACAGCGAGAAAAAAGATAGTAAAACTGTATAATAAGTTACTTACCGCGCGCACGTCCAAGTGTGTCGTCCACTTTAAGAGAATACGTAGATAAAAGAAAAGAAATACAAAAAAAAAATAAGATATGTTTGCGAGAAGAGGGTCCAAGAGATAATAAGGCTTACCGTGTGCCACGTCCGGGTTTCTTTTTTGTCTGTTGAAAGGAAGAAAGAAAACTGGCTCGTAACACAAATACATACACACGATTTATCCACGAGCTGGCACGCATCTTCCGCGCGTGATTCGTGCGTTGCTCGTCGCAATTTAAGAAAAAGTGTGTAAAAAAAAATAGTAAGTTACCCTTCTTATATACAAGAGAGAGATCGTAGTACTTTGTGATTTTAAGATTCTTTGTTAACTTCTTCGTTCTTTTTTTTCCTTCATTCATGATAATAGATATGGTCGGTTGACAAAAGAAATGAGACGATGAACAGCCTAAAACAAAAAACGATAAAAATAATAAAGACCGACCGCGCAATAACAATTCTAAGCAGATCAAATGGATTATATATTATATGACATTGTAAGTATTTTAAAATAAATCAATGAACTTTTTAGCGGCCAAATTATTTTAATTTAACAGCAATTTTAATTATAAAAGAACATAGCATACATATGTTGTATTGAGTGCGCATCTTTTAATAATTTCAAATTTTAATTAAAATGAGAGAAAAGGGAAATTTAATTATAGTAAGTAATGAAGCGCTGTAATTGGCGCAATGGTTTTCCCATAAAAAAAGGAAATTAAAAAAAGAGAATTGATATTAAATATATATATATAGTTTTATAGTAATTATTAATCGCCAGATTAAAGAACAATCTTGTTGTGTACAGTGCTCGTAATAATCCGCATAAAAAAATAATTTTTTAATTACAATTAACACTACAATCATACAATTATATTTATCATTTTTAATTATTATTATTATTATTGCACAATTATTGTTGTTATTATTATTCAAATAGACAAATTATAGATATCTGGATATGTCGAATATACTATGATGAGAAAGTGTCTTTTGAGAATTTGTAATTGAAACTTACAGTGCCAAATGGTTTAATACATTTTTTCTAATTATTCATTACTACAAGGATCATCAAAGAATTTTCACTGCGCATTCGAAATTTTTTAGATTAGATATTCAATAAATCTATGTTACATGTTTTACATTATATATATATATATATATATATATATATATATATATATATATATATATAATCGAACAGACACATATGAATTCCGAAATTTCTATCGCAAATGTATTATTTCGGTATTTATTATCTTTAGTCCACTAACGACTATATTAAAAGTTAACTTAAAACACCTGACTTTTTTAATGATTAAAAGATTAAACATTTCATACATTAATTTCAACTTTGATGCGAAATTGATTGCTTCTCCCGGACAATTTTAGTATTTATCGTTCAATATGCACATTTTCGACAATTACGAGTAAAATTTACCCAAAGCCGTCCATCGAGCCGTGGGTATAAAAAGAGAGAGCAGTAAAAATGTGTTTGCTAAAAAAGATATAAAATTCTTATGAAAAGTTTTAAACGCGAAGACGATCTGCCGAATATGACTATAATTGAATTCAATTATCTCATATCTCTTCCTTGCTGATATTTTACTTACATCTTGATTTTATTTTTTTTGAATTATATATTACTTTTAAGCATATTTTTAGGATTATCGCGTAAATGTTAAATTTCATCAGTAATAAGAATGTTTATTATGATTAATAAATTATGTGTGTAATTATGTCCTCTCTCTCTCTCTTTTATATACATTCAAATACCCATAATTATTATCTGATATTGTTAGTCGAATTTATATAAAATTGTAGGTATTTTAAACATATTAAATAATTGCGGGTTGTTCATCGATTTCTTTTGATTTAAAACATCTAGTTATTTATAATTGATTAATATATACATATACACATATTACATAAAATTGTTGTAAATTTTTTATGTTATAGAATGAATTTTTTTATTATGAAACACAACTATATAATTCCCTTTGTAATTGTGCAATACAAAATATTACAAAAGTCATTGTAGATGTATAATCTCAATAAGTTAAAATGCAAACTGTGCGAATTCTTTTTGAGGACGTGTAATAAACGACAAACGATATTTCAATTAGAAATGTAAGGTGAAATATCGAAGAATTCGTATTGAAAGAACCTCGCTCTAATCGAATGTATGGCACAGTGTGTTAACTATCAAGCCGCGCTGATAAAATATATTTTCATATATAAATATTTACATGTATGTGCACACACGCCAATCAATTAAATTTGTATAGGAGCATGTTTGTACATTCGTACAGATAACTAACTGAAAATTATAAAATCGAATTTCCATGACCTTTTTTTGAAGATAAAGGGGGAAGGAAGGAAATTGATCGATATATTTAAATTATAATCGTATATGCATAATAATAAATAAATTTTACTCATAGAGATTTTCTTACATTAGGATGTAATCAAAAAAGTATATAATATATTAATTTCAACAATCTCACTAGATAGCCAACTGTGACTTGTTGTCATATTGCCAACAGTTATTAAACAATATACTTGTTGATAACATGCCAGTAATATGATTAATCATATTAATTTTATATATATATAATCATGATAATAGCACCAGTCGATATGATTAATTACGCTTAGTTATTTGGGTATATTCATCAAGTGACAAATAGAACCGACACTTTCTATCGGTTAACGGCTTTTGCACTGTGCCATATTACAGATTCGAGTTTGTACACGATGCTTCGATAAAGGCTCACCGAGAATCGAGCGTTTTTTCATTCAACATCTATAGTTACCACATATACCAGTCCTTTAAAAGTAAATTGTACCACTTGTAAATAATATCGCTGCGATCACACATTGTATAGAAATCGAAAGGTGACATTCTTTATTAACTAAGAATTAATATACCGGCAAGAATACTCGCTTTGATTAACCATCTATTCGCCCCCCCTCCCCTCCTGTTAACCGACCAGTCGATTGTCTTAATAATTCAACCGAGAAAGAGTATAAAAAGTGCCAAAGAGACTGAACCGAAACCATATTCAGAGATAGTAGAAAATACAAATATCGATCCCGTTGACTTAAATTAAAGCGAAGCGATAGGTCGGCTTCTCCTTCGCGCTCATCGCTTCCCTCAAACTCAAGTGTTATATCCCAGATAGTTTATATGTTCTTCAATGGAAATAAGTGCTCTTAATGCTGCGTTCAACGTTTACGCTTCCTCCTTGATTATTATGCGATTACGTTATTGTTTCGCGAGAAAAGACTATCATTATTAGGGATAACTGTTTTCTAAGTAGAAAGAGGAAAGGTATATCGTCGTATTATTCTCGATTGTTTGGCAGAACGTTTTGTTGAGAGAACGTATATAAATGTATGCGAAAATATCTCTCGTAAAATAAAAGTCGCAAACTAAAGAGCGCTTAAGAGAATCAAAACTTATACTGGTAAAACAATCTCGTCCCTGTGGCTCGAAAGGAGAGTCACTAGAAAAGATTCGCCTTAGAGTTCGCTGATCACGGTGGATGTAGCGTTGTGTTCCTCTTTTGAATATTCGCTAAACGCGGATATATCCACTTATTTCCGAGTTGCGATAAGTGTATTTCTTCAATCCAGATCCAATCCTTAAATTCAGAGCACGATGCGTTACATGGCGGAAGACAGTGCCCTTATTTCTAAATGCGTGTCAAGGTGCACGTTCTATATACTGCCTCTAAACCATCCTAAGTGTCATCGTCAAGTTACACTCTGTCTGCGATTGGAAAAGTGGATGTTTGACAGACACTATCATATCCATGCTCAAAAGGTCCAAATGAAACTATCAAACTTTGTCTCTGTCTATTTTTCTCTCTCTCTCTCTCTTTCTCTCTCTCTCTCTCTCTCTCTCTCTCTCTCTCTCTCTCTCTCTCTCACTCACTCACTCACATTTTTTTCTCTTTCTCGACTTGTTGGATAAACGAAAAGTGTCCAAGTGCCAATATTATATTAGCGAAGCGTGTGAATTTATTGTACATAATATGTATGTATACACACACACACACACACACACACACACACACACACACACACACTTACGCAGATACATACAAATGAATAGTATAATCTTATGTGCATTATTTCTTAGTAGTATCAGTATGTGCAACACGATTGATAAAGGAAGTTAATAGTTTCAGCTACGAGAACTCGCGAGTTTCTTCCTTAATAATACGATAATTACAAAGTTAGCCGGTATACTCGAGTCAGAAATAGGCATATAATAACGTGAAATTAAAACATAGTTATTAAAAGTTTACATACAGTTTATACATATACACTCCGATTCTGTGCCTCTCTTTCTGCTCTTTGCTCGCGTACTTCGATTGTTTACTTTTTTCTTGAATCGAGATTCTATTATTCACAATTTCTTAAAATCCACGAGTACATATATACAAGTGTCTACTTTCCCAGACAATACAAATGTCGGAAAGATATTTTCTTTTTCGCAGTGGTTGAATCTTATTTAATTGAATTCCATAGCGAGAGAATTTCTCCATCAAATTTTTTTACAATTTTTTCTTCAAGACGAAGATCGCAAACATTTTGAGCCGTTCTTCTCCCTTCACGATAAGAAAACTCGAGAAATATACATAAATCGGAGCAAACATTCTTCCTTCGCCGGAGACAGAAATCGGTGCTGAAATAATATTTAACAAATCCGCCACTTTTACATAAAGTGAGTGCGATGAAGATGAAAAATATAGCTGCATCAAATAATATTTCAATCGAAATCTTCAAGGAAAATAAATAGGAATAAATAGCGAATAATCATTATTCGTTATAACAATCTGATTCATTTAATTCCCACAATAATTCTCGCATATCTCAGCATGCGATTCGATCGCAAATGGATATTTCAGGACAAAATTATTCGATCGTGCGAAAATAGTGACATATCATTTTATGAGTATTTTATATATCTGTTCTTTTTTTTTACAAGAAGCGCATATCACGTGTGCAGCAAACCTAACAGAGTCCCGCCGTCAGATCACTAGACGTAAGAGAAACTCAAAGGGGGAGATTCGCTCTTCTCCTGATGCCTTCCTCCGGTAAAAAAAATCTACGAGCAAAGTGCTAGTTTTCTTTCTTAGTAAAGCAATTTGGTCTCGAGTAGAATGAAGATATTCTTCGATCTGGAATCATTGTGCGTTTCTTTTTTTCCCTTCTCCTTATTGCGGTTCTCGCAAAGGCAAAGGTTCTGGTCGACAAGTTGCAATTACTTTTAATCTTTTTTGAATTTTGCAATAAGTCAGTGATTTCTGAGAAAGTTTTACCTATCGTAACTTGGTTCAGCTATAAAGAGATGGACGAACAACGAAACTTATTCTTCGTCACTCCTGTGTATATTTACAATTTTTCGTCG